AGAAGAAAAGTAGAAAAAAATTAAATTTTTTTTTTAAAATTGTGACCAAACGGTCACTGAAAAGTTTGGTCACCAACTCCAAGTGACTGGAACGGTCACTGAATTTCAGCGACCGTTCTTGTAAAAATTTTTTTTTTTTTCCTATTAGACGAGCTCACGAGCTGACTCGTCGAACAGCTCGTGAACAGTGACGAGCCGAGCCCCTCGTCTAGCGAGCCAACCCGCTCGGCTCGTGTTAGTGCTCTTTTTTTACGAGCTTGAGCGGCTCGTGGGCGTGAACAGTACGAGTCGAGCGGTCGAGCCGACCGGCTCGATTGACACCACTACTTCTTCCTCATTATCCAAATATACAATGACATATATAATAACGATTGAATACTTAATTATTAATTATCTACATCTATTTACAATATATAAAAGGGTAATTAAATTTACACCACAGTTTTTGTTTTCTGCACCACGTTTTAATTGCATTTAAGATTTTCAATCTTTAATCATTATAGTATTTACGTCTCTAACAATTATTCATGACATTTTTAAACTCAAACTATTCATTAGTTAGCACATTTTGTATTTTATGACAGTTTGTCCAAGAAATTCATTGAGATAGCGTATAAAAAATTATTTTTATCATATTAAAATAAATAAATATGTAAGAAAAAATATTTTTCCCTTATTTCAAAGCATAGAAACAAAATATTTTCACATAAATCATCATCAAGAATGAGACTAATTAATAGAGAGTTAAAGATATTAATTCAACAAAAAAATTAAGAAAATAATTGCTACGCTGCCTTATAAGAGAGACACGGGGCCTAGTGCAATTGCTCCCTTATTTGCTCAGTCAATTGGACACCTGCTTGAAGCCATTCTCTCTCTTTACAGCCCTGTTCGGAAGGGCCATGATCAAATCATCTTTGGGAGTTATCGGTGCGAATCCCCGCACTTCTTTTATGTTCTCTGAATCCTTGCCCGATCTCCTTTCTAGTCTTAAGATTAGGCTCACTTAATTCCATACAGTCGACTAGTTGTGTGCTCTTCAATCCAGCCATTCCTGCCATTGAACAAGACTGAGCTGACTTTCATGATTACCTTTTCTTTCTTCT